GACTTCATTTTATTAATTGACATTGCATTGTAGTGCAGTACAATTAAATGCAGTTAAATTCTTATTATTGTAAACAGTATAAATTCTCTTGCAAAGAAAAAAAATCTACTCATCAGTCAAAAAGGAATGTTCATTTCTGTTGGACCTTTTGCGCATATTCAAACTAGTCATTCGATTAAAAAAAAACAGTAACACATAACTTTTCGAAAGTCCTTCAAGTTAATTACTGATTTTTAATTTTGATTTTTATCAAAGAAAACAAATATTTAAGAATATGAGAATAAAAGAAATGCTCTCTAGTTTGTTTTTGAAACTTTTTTTTTTCAAAGCATAAAATGAAAAAAGTGTGTGCATTCAATAGGTTTTAAATCCAATTAAGAAAAAAAATTGACTAAGTTAATTTTGATTGGACAATTTGGCAGGCATCACAATGTATCGCATTGTATTGCAGCAGAGTGCAGTATGGTGCAATTCTACTTGTATTTAAACAAGCACAATTATTTTACTTGTCAATGTATTAGAAATATTCCCCACCATTCACCCTCCAAAGACAGCTTTTATATACAATCTGTCCTTGTGATTGAATGTTTATTTGAAAATTTGCATAATGTAAGTTTTGTTTCAAAGTTCGATAACTCAAATGATGTCCCTTTGAACAACGGAGACAAAACGATCATTGATTTCTGCATTATATTATGTAAATGTTTAAGCAATGCTAACGAGTAACAGGCTTGTATACTATATATAAGACGTTAGAAAGATATTCACAAGTGACCATGTGTTAAAATCAGAGTAAATAACGGTTACGGGTCATGTCGCGTGTAAAGGACTTAGTGTGAGCTTATCTCACTAAACAAGTACTGCTAAGCAGTATTGAAAAGCGTCTTTGGTTGTTCTATGAAGTCATCGGCGCTTTGTTTGAGTCTCGGGATATTCACTCATCAGTCAAACAGGAAAGTTTATATTTTTTTCACTGTTTTGCCTAACAATAAAAATTTACAAAGTATGTTTTAATTAGACAGTACATCAAGCATTACAATGTAATGTATTGTAGGACAGTTATTTTTTATTTAAAAGCAAAATTAATTAGGTTGCAATTAAAAAACTTCACTCGACACTCCAATTTTCCTCGGGATGTTTCGCATATATCCGTATCAGTCTTTCAATAAAAAAAAAAAATCAGCAAAAGTGACTGTTCTTTGATGGGAACTTAGCTCTAAGTACTGCTATCAGAATATATGCTGTTTATCCTTCCTGGTGCTTATCTGCATCACTCTCAAAATTTACACTCATCAGTCAAACACGAGATTTCTCTCTTTTTCAATCTTTCATATACCCAAACTAGGCGTTGCATAAAATAATAAACAGCAATGAAAAAAGAGAATCGTCAGGGGATTGAACCCGTGCCTCCCGCTTGCTACGCTAGCAACCTACCACTAGACCACGGAGGCACTTGATTATACAACAAATTAAATGCAAACATTAAGTCACATATAATGTTTATATTGACGTTTGATATTGTCAAAATTTTACACAACAAATGTTGTCTAATTTAGCCTTTACTAAACAGTTCTTATTGATGTACAAGTAATTAGAATATGAAGTCCGCCGACAATCTGTATTATACGTAATAACTCTCCACATGTCCCTGTGCTAAAAATAGTGCCAAGCGACTTTTAATACATGTACAATAAATTTTAAAAAAAAACGGGGCGGGACACTTTGAGAGGGGCAAGAGAGGCCATAGGGAGTTATGGTATAAAATTTCATTGCAAAAGCTCAAAAGATTAATAAATTCTTGAGATATCGCCCGGAAACGAAAGTGTTACACACAGACGGAATTTAGGAATTTACGACCTTGAACTTTGACATTTTGACCTCAAAATCAATAGGGGTCTTCCTTAGGCCACAGGGAGTTGCTACGTAAAATTTCGTTGCAAAAGCTCAAAGAATTCGCGAGATATCGTGCGGAAACGAAAGTGTTAAAACAGATAGAAATTATGAATTCATGACCTTGACCTTTGACATTTTGACCTCAAAATAAATAGGCTTTTTCTTTAGGCTATAGGAAGTTGCTATGCAAAATTTCAATGCGAAAGTTCAAAGGGTTCTTGAGATATCGCGCGGGAACGAAAGTGTTACAGACAGACAGAAATACAGCTAGACGGACGGACGGCTGGACAGACGGACGGACAGACCCAAATTAATATCCCCCACTTTCAGTGAAAGCGAGGGACAAAAAAGAGAAACGTCCGGGGATTGAACCAGGGCCTCTCGCTTGCTAAGCGAGGAACATACCACTACACCACGAAGGCACTTGTATATAGAGCAAATTAAATGCAAACATTAAGTCACATATAATGTTTATATTGACGTTTGATATTGTCAATAAATGTTGTCTAATTTAGCCTTTACTAAACAGTTCTGATAGATGTAATTAGAATATAAAGTCCGCCGAAAACCTGTATTATATGTAATAACTCTCCACATGCCCCTGTGCTAAAAATAGTGCCAAGCGACTTTTAATACAATAAATAAAAAAAAAAACGGGGCGGAACACTTTGAGAGGGGCAAGAGAGGCCATAGGGAGTTATGGTATAAAATTTCATTGCAAAAGTTCAAAAGCTTCTTGAGATATCACCCGGAAACGAAAGACGGAATTTATATAATTAGGAATTTACGACCATGAACTTTGACCTTTTGACCTCAAAATCAATAGGGGTCTTCCTTAGGCCACAGGGAGTTGTTATGTGAAATTTCATTTCAAAAGCTCAAAGAATTCGCGAGATATCGTGCGGAAACGAAAGCGTTAAAACAGACAGAATTTATGAATTCATGACCTTGACCTTTGACCTCAAAATAAATAGGGTTCTTTTTTAGGCCATAGGGAGTTGCTATGCAAAATTTCATTGCGAAAGCTCAGAGGGATCTCGAGATATCGCGCGGAAACGAAAGTGTTACAGACAGACAGAAATACAGCTAGACGGACGAACGGACAGACAGACCCAAATTAATATCCCCCACTTTCAGTGAAAGCGGGGGACAAATACAATGTAATAAAACAATAGATTCTGTATTTTGATTTTTTACTTTTGTTTTAATCTGAATATTGAGTTGTTTGAAATCGGGTCCGGAGTTATTCTAAACTGCTTAATGGGAGTATCAATGGTAAATATATCACATATTTTGAAAGTTTTAGAGGTTATGCACTTTTGTGAGCAATAAATACACACGTTTTGCAAAGGTCCAGAGCACAGTAGCTCTCTGGTCGTCCATCTTAATTTTTTTCAGACCAACAGATCTGAAGCTACAGTAGAATTAATGGCAGTTGATAACAATTTTATATGAAACAACCTTTTACAAACAACTTATCTTGTAGATTAGGCTTTCCCCTTTAAAATCTTTCCCTTCTAGCTGGCTCTAGAAGAGGATTTCCCCCACGCAAAAATGACTCGAAAGTAGGATTTTCCTCACTGAAAAATGACTCTAGAGTAGGATTTCCCCTACGAAAATCCCACACCAGATTCAATTTTCTGGGAGGAAATCCTACACTATGTAATAGTTATAGAATGCGATATCTCCCAGAGCTAATTTTCACCCCAATAAAATATTATGGTTGTACTTATGTATGAAGTGGGACACATTGATACAAGTGCCTCCTCTTCAAACTAGCGACAAGCTCTAATGAGACATACGAAGCATGAACATTAAAAATTTTAAATCTCATTTTTATGAGTAACTGTCCAACCAATTCTCTTGAAGCATCAAAATCTTATTCTTTTCATCTGGTCAAACTGTTTCTGAAAAAAAAAATGGTACAAAATACATGTAATCGGTTGGAGACATTTTTACTGTATCCATGGAAACAAAAAGGAATTTCATTTTAAATAGATTATTTTCTCCAATTATATTTCAAACTATATGTACATAATATTGAAGTGTGAGTGTCTCTCCAAGATTCTGGTTTATGAATGTAAAAGCTGCCGTTGCTATAGAGCTTAAATGGGTCATTTATTTCTAAAAATTTGAAATTTTGCAAAACTCAAAGAGAGTATATTTGCTTTTTGCTTTCAAATCCAATCTAGTATATTACACCCCTTGGGTCGAGGGTGCATACTTATGCTTCGGCTTGCAAAAGAAGTGTTTCATGTATTGTTTTGCTTTTTGTTTTGGCTTTTTTCGCCGTGAAGAACTATTCGATTCCAATACTCACAAAATGGTATGTGGGACCTATCAATAACACAGATATGTTTTGCTGTGAGTATCGAGTGTGTTGAACGACGGGCCTCTTAGAAATAAGCTCGTTTGCGAGGGGATGCTCCGCTTTGAGGTGCATTTGTTTATTTTTTTACTTCCAGTATTATTTATGGCCAAAATGCTTTTAAAATTATGAATTTTTTTTTTAAATACAACGTTGTGAAGTATGCAAAAGTGTCTGGTTTTTTCGCATCGAAGCTAATAAATAACATGGAAGCATGCAAATCTAATGACGTTTTGATCCCCAAAAATATACTGAACACAAATCATGTTTAATTTAAAATCCATTAATTGACTTCATTAAATAGGAAAAAAAGCATTAACATTTTATTTTTGTTAAAAAAAATTAAATGTATTTTCATTTATAATGTATTTTCGTGTAATTAGCTTTTGAGTTTCGTCGACTCGATAATGCAGTTTAAATCTGAATACACATTCTTGTCTTTCAAGTTCATTAATCTGAATGAGTTACGACACATTAACTTCCGTAAGATTGTCCAATATAGACACTAGTGATTTTAAAGACCCATTGTAATATATTTAAAATTTTAAATTAAAAATTGTGTGCATTCGGAGAACAAGATCGTTGATAGACTTCATGGGGGCTTGATTTGGACAGATGTCTCTTGAGCAGCCCTTTGTCTCTCTCCCTCTGTGTATCTCAGTAACTCTTAGGTGGTGTTACACCTGACAACCTCACCTAAACATAACCCAGTCGGTAGATACATTAATGAGATTCCACACAAATAAAATAGGATCAGTTAATTAATGAAATGATTTCTATATCGACTTCTAGAGGTTGTGATCTATAATCCACGCAGTGAGTATTGGAATTTAATATTGACATTTTTCAGGACATGCGCCGGGTTAGTATAATTAAGCAGGTTGTTTATTTTTGCTTTTTACATATGGTGGGTTTTTTGCAGACATGGCGTTTCCTAAGCTTCGGGAGTTTATGGGAGAGGTGAAGAAATTCCTGGACACAGGTGTAAAGCCTTTCCAAATGTCATCCATCCTACCACGAGGAGCTAAGAGGGAGCTAGACGGTGCGGTGCCCATGATTTCAGGCTTCAGACCCTCCAAGGTAATTGACGTTTATGAGGTTCAATATCTTGGGATATACAATAATGAAATATTAAAGATTCCATTTGACAGATTGCTTATATCAAAGGCAGATTACAAACAATTATTTATATGAGAATTATTAAATGTATGCAGCTCAAAAAGGAGATAAATTTCTACGTTTCGAATTCAATATTCATTTCAGGTATGTATATCAAAACAATACATGTACATGTGGTTAAATGTATTCATGACCGTGTTATATATTACGAACATCGGTCTTAAGCCCCCCCCCCCCCTTTCTCCTTTGAATTTATCCTTTGTTTCAGGTGTACTACATGTTTGCTGTTCTGAGTTTCGCTGATCTTGGGAGTTGGGATGAAGTGAAAACGCATGGTCCTCAGGCTCTTGAAGAGTTCCGTCACTTCATGGAAGAATTATCTACAGACGAGAGGGTACGTTACATATTAACTAAAGATTTTTTTATTCGAGAAAATTGAGCATTTGATGAACATTCATTTATTGGTTGAGAATTATTTTTAGAATAAACCACCAATCTCATTACCACCAAAAGAAACAATCATTACCCAGGACTTTCCACAGCAGAGTTCAGCTAGATTTCATACCTCAAATGAAAACATGCAATATTACTCACCGAGAAGTCCCGAAGAAAATACTCGTGCACCCTCTAGACCATCTCAGAGACGATCACATGATGATAGTGGTAACAATGAGAGCCAGAAGGTGTCTTCAAGACCTTCACCATCAAAACCTTCTCAGAGAACATCTCATGAGAATAGCAAACGGAGCTCATTAGGGCAATATCAAGAAAATGGTCAGGATAACGACGTACTGAAGAATGACATTGCGAACTCTATCAGCAAACTAAGGCAAGAAATAGGCAGTCTGAAGGATAGGTATGCATCATGTTTTGAGAAGTATTTTAAACTTTAAGTATTATATATATACATGTAAACATTACAATATTTTTTATTATTATTATTTTCAATAGCAAAACGTGTGTCAAAAAGTGTGACTCGTATTCGTTTACATGTATTTAAAATAATATTCATATAGATATGGCAGGAAATTTCTCTTTGAGATGGATTTTAGAAAATATTTTGTTTCTAAGACTTTCAGAAGAACTCAGTCAACAAGACGTCGGTAATACCCCAACAGCAAATATCCCCCCACTGAACACAAAATCCCCTCGGAGTTCTCGTATTGATGACGTCACAGACAAATTAGCAGAAGCTTTTTCTGGACTTTTTCACGATCAGTGGTTGGGCGCTCTAAAAGAAAGAAATAATGGCCAAGGACATTCGGAAAAGGACTTAATTTATTTGGCAGATGTCACTAAGGTTCATTAAAGTTTCCCACAATATTCACTTTTATTCTCTTACATTCATAAACCGAAGGTATGATTTTGAGTTATGATAATTAATATTTTAGAAATGTCAGAATTACTTGGATGATATTTGTGAAAGAGAATTCACTCACCTATCTGAAATTATACTCAAACCCATGGGTGAAAAGGATTCTCAGTATGTGAGTAGTCAAAATTAATGCTTGTGAAATTACCAATTTAGTCATCGCAACTGACAGATACAAATGCATAATTACATTTTATTGCAAAATTCCTGGTTCATTTTTGTTGTGATATTTTTTTATGGAGTCAAATATACAGAATCTTGCGTGACAGGTCCATATATCAGAAGATCTGAGAGCCCTTGCTAGAACTAGATGTAGACAGATACAAAGAGACACGATGCCTATTTCACTTCCGGTTATCAAGGAGGTAAGACAATACAAATATGATATTTTCATTATTTATCGTATTTTTTAGTGTTAAAATATAGTTATGACATCATTTGTTTAGGTTGTTATTCGAGACAAAATATCCGAGGCCCAGAAAAACCCAGCATTGAAGAGATTCGTGGAAAGGTGTGTAGAACTGTTGTGGATGTTTGCAATTCATGATCCGCCCCTGGAATTAGAGTGGGCCCGGGCGGGAGATACGATGGGCAGTCATCTTCAGTCATATTCTGACACAGGGAATAGGGTGGGGTTTAATGTATGGCCGACATTACGGCAATTCAGAAACGGTCCTGTATTGTGTAAAGGTGTTGTTCAAATGGTATATTAATGATTTTTCTCTCTTATTGTAATTCATGTTATAGTTTTTGTTTAATAAATAATTTTGCAAGATTATTATTTCTTGATGTGAGTGTATCTAGAAACATATCTATTTTAAGCATCCGTGTACATTACTGTTTCAACATACTTTGTAGTTTTCAGTCCATCCGTTTTAAACCGTACATAATTTTAAAAAATCAGGGTTCCCTTTTACAAAAGAACTCACGATTAAGACCATAAACTTTAGTTGTTTGTAAAATCTTGCAAAGTCATTGATTTCTATTATAAATTGCTTGCATAAAATTATCTTCTTAAATCCTTTGTAAAAGAATTAAAACCATTTACAAGTTAATATAAAATAAAAAGTTAAAATTACATTTTTGGTCTTAGTCGTAAGTTTTTGTAAAACGGGGCTCAGATGTTCAAACGGTAGCAGATTCTGATCATGTGATTATTTTTATTTTATTTTTCTGGTATCTTTGATTCAGGAAATCAAAAAGATACGATTTTTTATTGAAATGTTTTTATTATTTTTTTTATACTAAAAAGTAATCAAAATTATCCTTTGAGAATCTATCATCACCAAGCAAAAATATCTATCAAAATTGCCAAAATCTAGCAAGCTTGATTCTTAGGAAATATAATTAGTGTACTGTGGATGCCTACAAATATATCTGGAATCGGTACATTCCATGATTTCACCTGCTGACAGTACAAGTATTTTTTAAAAAGTACATGTATCAGTGGTTGCAACCGATTCAATAAAGAAATCAAATCTTCGTCTCCAATGGTGATAAGTTTAATTTTTGAGCACGTGAAGGACTTAATTCCGATTCTTTAATCTCTCTACAAACCTATGGGCCAAATATGAAACATTCCATGTTTGTAATGTTTTACCTTTTTGTTAGTATCATCTGTGATACAGTTGGTCAAACCGTCCATGATAAGCAACAAACCAAGTGACAATAAATCTCAAGTTCATTTTTTATTTGAAACAACTATTTAATTGTAGATTTAACAAAGATGTCTATAATGATGTCTTCCATGAGGATGATACGTCGAAGTGCACTATCTGCAAAATATAATAATGAACATTTCAATGCACGCATAAACAAAGTCTTGTTTCACCCCCACCCACCCCCCAATTTAGGCTCATTGAGAGTCTTAAATTTTGTAATATATGTTATTATATGTTATTTTTGTAAACTGATGGGCTGTATTGTCCAAAGTTTATATATTCTGAATAAACTTGACAATATTTTCCATTATACATGTGCATGCATATTATAATTTAGTATGATATAAATGTATCATCCTGCTCTTACCTTCTTTGTAAAAGTTAGGATTTGCATGTTTTGCATGGACAGCTTATGGCGCATTTGCATTCTGGTTCACATTTGCATTCATTTGCTGTGCATCCGCATGTCACACTGCATGTTGTGCATGTGCATTCTGTGGTATTGCACTGACAAGTTTCTCCACATTGGCATGTTCCGTTAGCACAGGTGCACTTCATTTCTGTTAGGAAAAAAGGGAGGGTTAAAGAATCGCCTTTATCTCAAAAACACAAGGAAAGGATTTATACTCTGAGACGTTTTCTTAGATTTATTCAAGTTGTACACTGAGCACACAATGATTCTTTTCTCATGTAAAAAGTATAAAACAAGCAACAGTTACAAACCACTACCGAATCTCTTCTCAAAACATACTTTATCTATAATTCTTTTTTTTTTTTAAATATAATTTATTATTTTTAAACAGAAAATTACTTCAAATCAAGTTGAAAAAAAAAGACAATGCCCGTTCTATTTCAATTTTAAGATATTCCGTTCCTCAGCTTCTGTAAATTAGCAGTAAAATAATTTAAAATGCTCACAAAAAATGTCACTGAATGATTTACAAGAAATGTGAATATACCCGTGTTATTTCTTAAAAGTTTATCATTATAATAAATCAAATTGTATAGGGAATGTTATCAAATCGCAAATATACTTTCAAGAATTGTGAATAAATGTACCTTTTATGTATTTTCTAAGTGAAAACTGATCAACAGGTGTATTTTAGGATAAAAAATAATAGGTATCCAGGTATTTGAAAAAAAGATCATGTTTTAATACTTATACGGTATTTTAGTTATTTCAACTTCAATTTTTATGTAATAATACATGTAGTATCAAAAAGCGTGTGTTATTTTTGCAAGATATCACAGACCACTTCCAATTCCATTTCATGCTAATAAAAATTGCTACATGTATCTAAGGGAAGATTAAAGGAAATTAGATTTCTCTAAAAATTTAATATTTTGTACATTTACATGTATTGGGGTACAAATGTCTACTTTTTACACGACCGTTTTTAAGACGTCAAAGAACCTTGAATCATATTAAGATGCATGAAATGAAAATTGTTACAAAAAAAAATTCAAGCTTCATTTGGAAACTATTGATTTTAACAGTTATTGTTCCTGGCTGAGGAGCGAATATCCTTGATATTATAATATAATTATGATTTAAAAAGATGATATCAGAGAAAAAAAATCTGACTTACTGTATGATACGAAGAAAGAGTTCCAATTGATCCAATTTGTCAGGGGTTTGAATTGGATAATTTGACCGGTGTGTTTTATACTAAAAATGTTTAGATGCCGTGTGCAAAAGAGATGGAGACGTTCGCAAAATTCTTAAGAGTTAACAATATCCTTAGGTAATAGGTTGATGAGGTATTGTATAACATGACGTGTTGACAGCTGTCGCGGGTTAAACAATTAACCCTCCCATTACAAAGATATATATCTATAATGTTCCTATAATAAATTAATTACAAGAAGACAACAATTTATTAGAAACAGGTTTTCAGCGCAGTGCTTATCATGTATATAATTTAATAGGTTTGAAATATATTTTACATGTAGCTACCCGTTTGTTGTTATTTTGTACATAGATACTATATGTTGTCATTAAAATTAATCATGTTCAAGAATATTAAGTTATAGATTATAACTGAATTTGATAAAAGGTTTAAAGTAGATAAGTTAATTATAAAATGAATAAAATCCAAATATTTTACTAAATAGGTGGCTCTCTCGCTATAGAAGTGATATCTGTTTTGTTAAACATGCTGACTGCATGCCAAGCCACGTCAAAATTTGGTGAAAAGTAAAAAAAAAATGTATATATTAGTTTACTGTTCAATTAATATAATTTTTGTAAAGTTTTAGATATAATATAAAGTCTTGTTACTATAAAGTATCTGGGAACACTTTCAAGAGTCTATTTTTACAGTTTACACAATTAAAATCTTGATTTTCATTGAAATAATATAATTTGTAAATCTTCTGTGTACAAGATCATAAGAAAACTTGTTTGTGATATATATCTCTTTGAAGTATAACCGCCCGTTTTGTAGTGTTTCTCCTTAATAAAATATAATAACAAATGGGGAATCAGTTACTCTGAGGCCCGTAGGAAGCAATTTCAGTTGGGGGGGGGGGGGGGCACAACCATACATTTTTAGTTGGGGGCACTATCAACTACCAAAAAAATTCCTTGACAAGCAAAAAATAAAAGGGTCATCAGACGTTATTATTGAAGGGGCATAGGCATATAGTAGCTCCATGTATGTTTTCTATAGTATTTTATATATCGGCAAAATTATTGGGGGGGGGGGGGGGGAGGGGAGGGCTACGGCCATGACTCTTCACTCCGTACAATATATATGGGTAAACTCGATAGACAGACGGACAGACAGACCTAATGACATACGTCACGGTTTTACGGACACTTTAGTCTAAATCTAAATGTATCTTTACTATACATGTAACTCTTTTTCTTCCTAACTCTCCCACTTGAAGTAAATAACATTTTATAAATCATTTACTTTACTTTGATTGGCATGCCCAATTATAAATTAATCCAGTCACTGTCAATCTTTATCACTCAACACTGACCATCGCTAAAGATTAACGCCTATTAATCCGCGAATTGTTACCTAAACGTTTTAACTCAACTTAGTGTCAAACACTTTTTTGATCTCAAAATGCATTGTCCATCTGTCCTCACTATCTTTTATAAGTATTTATCCTTAAGCAATATTTCATAGCTTTGACGTATTATTTCATTGTTACCTAAGATTTTTTATTAATATTAATTTACATTCTTATTCTATCTCTTCCTTATCAAGAATTTCATAAGATTGCGTATGTTAAATATATTAACTCATAAACAAGCTGAAAATAGAAAGTATTTACGAATGTGCAAAATAAACAAATAAATAATGAAAAAATAACTCGGGGAGACCTAAATGTAGGGGGGGGGGGGGGCTCCTGTTCACAAGCATTTGTGTTTTGGTCACTGAATTCTGTTGACGAAGGGACGATATTTTTTCTTATAATTGTATAGAATATTCAAATATTAGATTAAATTTATATATCAGTACTAAATGTATTAAGATACGTTATGTGTGAACATTTATGATTTTTAGTGACATTCGCCGGTTGTTTTAAATCTATGTAAAATTATGTCTAGATATTGTAATATCTATAATTCTTTTAAGAAGTATAGTAAACATTTATTACTCTGTGGACAGCAAGTGCCAAAGCTGACCTTTGAAAGACCTTTGGAAGACAATTATGTAACAAGACAAGACCATTTGTTTGTTTTTCCCTGGGCTGATGAACGTCTTGATGAACATGTTTTGAAAATGTCGATCCTAAATATTAAAATATATATTTAATTTAGTAAAATTGTTTTACATGTAATTGTTGGTTATTGACGTTCATCTGTCACAAAACTGGATTTTTTAATATATTATAATTGAAACTAACCAAGTCTTATTTTTTTAATTAAGAAGTTTCTTTTAATTTCTCTCTCTCACTCACCCCCCCCCCTTTTCTCTCTCTCTGGATATTACAAATTGATGGAAAAGACTTTTACTGTATTCATTTTATTAGCTTTGTTAAGTTTGAAACAATCATGTACAAGAACATGACCAATTACCCTCTTCATTATATTAATAAAAACAACTGATACATGTAGCAAGTACATGTACATTAATAGTATTGTTACTGTGTGAAAAAATGTAGAGGCTTTATTACAAAATGAAAAAAAAAAATTGTCAGGTGACAGAATGCAAAGACATGTTGTAAACATAACCATAAGTTAAGTTAGATTTCAAAGATAAACTTAAGAACAAATACATGTACCAGTACAATCCATTTAGTTTTTGTTGTTAACTGTGTATTGCAAAGCAATATTATATTCATAACTTTCATTTTACATCATGTACATGTACTACATTTATAACTTTTACCATTAAGTCTGTTTGTGTGTTGGAAAGTACACCATGGTGCAGATAGAACATAAATCACTAAATCACTGAAGACAGTTAGATGCATAATGTGTTGAAGTCTTCCATTATTATTATTATATACATACACTGTATTTATCATGCTATACCTACATGACTTATCCTCTAACATAATGACCTAAAAAAAAGTTCCTAGTATTACCTATGTCACAAAGGTGACACAAAGATTCAAACTGAATAATTTCTGTTTAAAATCTGGAAAATTATCTCCTTACAAAACACATGTATAGATGCACAAAAGATTTATGCGTGAACAAAAACAAAAGAGGTTAGTGTAGTTTGTTTTACAAAATACATGTATAAATAGTCAGATACATAAGTTTTTTTTTCTTTGAAAATACACAGATTCTGGACGGACAAAATAAAATGACGGAAAATAAAACCTATTCTTCTACAGTCCAAAAAACATACAATTGCTGTACTTATAAGCAAATAATACAATAAACTTAAATATTTGGCACTATGCAGCATTCTTTTAAAATAGCACTCTCTAAACAATATAAAACATAAATCATATACCTTCCATGCTAAATTTTTCAATTTCATGGCATAATAAAGATAAAAATAAAATTCTGTAGATAAGAATAAAATCTAACATTTCTCACAAGAGACACAGGAGCCACAATGCTCAACTGAGTAACCATTTCGTCAGATTTTAAAACATTTTTTCCACTTTATATTCTTATGAACATTTTTTCACTCCAGTATTGTGGCCCCAACCAATCCCCTAAAGCCATGATTTGAAAACAAACTTGAACTGCACTACATGAGAATGTTTAAATATTGATAACTTATCATAGCTCTCTGCATGCTGTTTCCTGAGAAGAATATTCTTGAATACATATTCCAATATATTTTAGCTTTGATCCTGTATTGTGGCCCTATCCTACCCACACTGCAGAGCCTATGATTGTACAAACTTAAATATGCACTTCTTAGGGATGCTTTCATATAAATATGATTAAATATGGTCATGTTGTTAATGAGAAGATGGTTTTCAAAGATATCCTCCTATAAAAAACACTGATTCCCTGTTATGGCCAAATTCAATCCTTAGGGGTCATGATTTGAACAAATTTGAATCTGCATTGCCTATGGATTCAAGCACATATATATCATTAATTATGGGCATGCTGTTCTTCTTAAGAAGTTTTTTAAAAATTCATATAGCTTCCAACATATTTCCATGTAAAACTTTGATTCCCTTTTGTGGCCCCACCTTACCCCTGGGGGGTTTGATATGATAAAACTTGAACCTGTACTTCCTGAAGATGATTGCATATTAATATCACTTGGTCTAATCTTGGCCCCGCTGTTCTTGAGGAGATTTTTCCCTACATATTCCAATGTAAAACTTCAATCCCCTATTGTGGTCCCACCCTATCTCATGGGGCTGTGATTTTAACGAAATATCAGGGAGCTTTCACCTAAGTTTTGTCTTCTGGACCCAGTGGTTCTTGCCAAGATTTTTAAATATTCCCACCCTATTTTGCCTTTTCTTAATTATCTCCCCTGAGAGACTGCATGGTCCTTTCTTTAAACTAACTTTGATCGACTTTATCCAAGGATACTCTGTGCAAAGTTTGGTTGAAATGGTTCTGGAGAAGAAGATGTAATAAGAAAACTTTAAGATGACAACAAAGCAGACAGACATCAGATAAAAATTGATCAAACAAGCTCACTTGTGCCATATGCTCAGGTAAGCTAAAAAACAAGCCAATTTTTTTTCTTATATATGAAAAATAAAAAATCATAGCCATGATTGTTTCCATGGTAGCTTAATTTCACGCAAAATGTTTTCCCTGCGATTACATTACACAGGAAGCACAAAATGAAAATCATAAAACACCATGTTTTATTCATCCCTAACAATACAGAGTATAATTCTTTTCAAATAATTGTAAGATACAGTTGTAATTCTAAAACAGTGAATGCATATGTCAGATCCTTAGGAAAAATGATGATGTCTATGACTAAATGTTTGACTAGTTCTAAAATTCATTTTGTTGCCCTAGATAATTTTATTGAAATCTACCTATGTGGGTAGAATATGTACAATGTACATATACCATAACAATTTTATAAATTTAGCAATAGCCTCATTTTGCATGTGCATATACTAATCACTGCACAGCAATCATCCTTCATTCTTAACAGAAGACAGGCTAAAAACATTTAAGAAATTAAAATCACAATAATGATATCAAGAACACCAAAATCATTAATCTGAAAATATTATATTTCATTTTTCATTAACTTTTAGGTATCCATATAAATAGCAGAACACTTTTCATATGCAATTATCAAACACACACATGTACATTTCACATGGAAATGTATCTGTAATTCAACAAATTTTAATGCCTATAACAATAATTGCATTCTTAATCATTTCTACTTGTAGAAAACATTCAAATCTCATGAAGTTCTGTAGTATTTCTATCAAAATGCAGTTTACATGTCTCCAAAAAAAAAAAAATAATAATAATTACCTGACCTTCTCAGGAAATAAACCCTCAGCAATCTCTATTAATACACACTGATGTAAAATTTAACAGACTGATGCCTTGCAAAATTTGATAAGTGTACTTTAAGCTTGTGATTTGTTTGTGATATTAACCCTAATTCTTTTACACAGACATTTCCCGTTCCACATTTCCTTCAGCTTGATCCTGACAGGAATCAATATTAGCTGCCTTCTGAACAAACACTCTGCAGGTTCCATAAGTCTTATCAGTCAAGACATCCAGCCTTTCTGCCAATGTTGGTAACAACTGAAGAGTCTTCTCTTGACTCTTACTGATTAGAGCTTTGAGTTACCTCCCTTTCAATATTTTCCTCATTGTATGGCACACACTGTACTGTTTTTCTGGTTTTTGTCTTTGTGTTCTAAATTTATGTCCCACTTCTTGTTAGCTTCCAAATAAACATCTCTGTCAAAGTGACCAGCTGCCATTGGAATACTACAAAAGAAGGAGTTTTTGTCTACATGTAGGTCTTCTTCACTATGGCCAAGTAATAAAAAAAAAAAAAAAAAAAAAAATCTGGATTTTTCTAACTCTTTAACATTCCATTGCTTCAGAGTAGTATTGTTAAAAATCATTACCAAAAGAAAAGCAAATGACTAGCAACTTGAATTTCATTTACCTATAGAATTCAGTTAGCTATACATGCACCAGAGACATTAATAACATTAATATTATTTATGTCTCTGTCTATGCCTAGTGTGCAACTTCACTGCTTATTTTTTTAACTCATATTCTTGAGGAAGAACTCCTACAGTAAGTAAATTTCTTTTTACCATGATTTCATGAAATTTTCCTGTGGCTGAGGAGATTTGACTTACCTGCTCAGCTGTCATTGTAGTGCTGTGTAATACACTACATGGGTCATCTCTTTTTTTGAAAGGGGGATACATGTATATATTTTTTTTTTAAATTTTATGGTCTTGATGTAAGCTAAAGAAATTTTTAGAGAGACCTTTGTATCAGAAAACATATTTGATTCATTTTTAATCAGACCTTTGTATTTTAAATGCATTATAAGTTTATAAAATATCTATGCATTCAATATTCAGCTTTTCTGTAACCTACTTGTCTCTGCCAGGTTTGATTGTTGCTTCATAAAGACCATAAACTGGACGGTGGTCTGATAATCGCAGGTTCATAACAGCATCATAATGCAGACATCTTATGGAATTCTTCTTACGAGGTTTAAATAATATTCTATCCTACAATAACAAGAACAACAAAGATTGAAGAAAGCTTTCTGTGCTTATAACAAATTGCTAGGGATGGGCGATTTTGCTTCATTATAACAATTCTTCATTATAGCCGTTAAGTTTACAATATATTTTTTAAGTAGTGGAATGAAAATTCCTTTTGCTGTTATCGTCAATTCATTATAAGCATTATAGCTGTATGCATGTTTTCCTGTATTAATCTTAATCAAAGAAATATCGACTCATTGAAAACTACATACTGTGTAGGATGGAATCCGTAGCTTACTAGATGTATCATAAATATCTTGATCTACATGTAAATCAAACTTATACGTAGGTTTAAAATTTATTCTTCCCTCTAAAAATCCATGGAAAACTTGGTCTGCAAAGAATGCACAAAATAAATTAATTGATTTAATTAAACAATCCATATACATCAAAAAACTTGCATTATTTTTGAGAAATAAACACTTGCCTTAAACCAAATACATGTACATGTATGCTAAATATTCTCTTTAATCATTTGAAAGTGGAACTTAAATAAAAAACATTTTCAGGCCCCGGGTCCATAAAACTTAGACGAGCTCACTTTTGATCTCAGTCTCACTTTCACCAAAGGAATTAATAATGGAAAAGTGAGACTGAGATCAAAAGTGAGCTCGTCTAAGTTTTATGGCCCCGGGGCCTGATCTTATTTCAAGACAGGACGTACCTTTATTTATACAGTCATTAAGTTCATCCCCCTCCAGTAGAAATTCAAAGTTAGGATGTTCCTGCTCCGTGATAGATGTCACTAGGTCCTCTACAGTATTACGACCCTTGTCTATCCGAAAATTAAGGTCCCCAAACCAAAACACACAGTCATATTTACTGAGAGCATCACCTGATTAAATATAAAAACATGTGCATATAATTCTAATTCTGTATACTGTGAAATATCATTCTTCATGGGGGCAATGTTCGTAAGAAACCAAAATTTTACTGGTTCATGGAGATGTAATTTCATGGGTAATGTGTATGTTGTTATAAAATAGATAACTCTACAGTGTTCAATGTATGAGTGTATCAATGTTTGTGAGGAAGTAAATTCACTTTTAATTCAGGGTAAATGTTACCCAGGAAATCCACAAATATTGATCTCCCATGAACAATGATGATTCCGCAATACATTTTACCCAAATTAACAAATTATTGAAATCTTGTTCAAACAAAAATATCACAGATGTAAAATACCCTAACAATCTAATATGCTGCTTTAAATTTACAGGCGCCACAAACTGAGCTGCTTGACTTCACATTTGAAATAATTAACAACCTCTTTTTCTTTGAAACAATTTTAGGTCACTAAATACAGTACTGAAGTACTATAGTATGCGAAACAATAAACTACAATGGAAACAACAAATGTACATTTACCATATGCATACCTTGAACACTTTTCTGATCTTTATGAGAGTATTTTGGCATCTTTAGACTGGAACTGATTTTATGATAATCTGTTATTCTATCCTTCAGTCGACCATCATCAGCTGTGTAACACAAAGACAGTGGTCATAACTTTGACAACCAAAAATATTACAAGTCTCTGTATTTTTACCTTTCAATAAAAACATACTTTTGAAATCATTTTTTTGAACGTAATAGGATGTTGTATATGGCTTTTTTGAATTTATAAGAGGTCAACCTTACGTTTTTTAATCTAATATCTACACATAACATTGAATGTGTCTATTGTAATGTTCATTTAAGAGATTTGACAAATATTGATTTTAAATGACAGCTGAATTAATACTTACAAGTTAGATGACAGTTGACAAAAAGAAATGAAGTTCCAAAAAAATAAAATGAGATTGCTACCGCTCCTTTAGTCTTCACCATAGTAACAGCTCGAGTGGATATCTGTTCATCATCTGGTACTAAAAATGAAATAAGTTTATAAAATTCTAGAACCTCCCAAAAAATGGTGAATTAAAACAAAACCATTAAATATATTAAACTTCTTAATGGACTGATGAAAATAATAACTATTTTAATCTGGTTAAAAGATGTTTAAAAAGTCGAATGTAGTTTGACTCTCCACGTTTAAAGAGATGGGGTAAATTTCACTTTACCTGAACAAAACCAGATGAGATCCCTGCGTATAAATATGGCAAGATGTAGGGATCCATGAGATGCTGAATGATAAAGAACATGCGTAGGTCCCAGTGTGGCTTGTAACAGCACCTCCCAATCTTTTCTGTAACAAAACAACTGTACGTGTACATAAACTGGCATATTCAAAATTTAGCGCAATCACTGGGTATTGAGTTGTTGGCATATTCATGAAATTGCACTACACACTAACGCCCCATATATTGTATTAATAAATGATTTCTTAACAGTATTCATGAATTAGCACATTGTTGTCCGTGTCTAAAATATGAAGCCCATTTTTTTAAGTACACAAACAGTAAACAAATATAGAATAAAAATTTAATTACAATTAAAACTTGTTATCTCAAACTTGATGAGACCAAGAAAAAAATTTAGAGATATCCTAGGATTTGAGATATTAAGAGTAAAATACTCAAAGAAAAAGTGCTTGGAACTTCTTAATCACTTCAACATATCCATGGTATTCGACATATCGATGTTTGAGCTGTACTTGTCAACTTGGTTTTTACACACAGATAAGAATTTATTGATAGCTAAATAATATGTAATAACAGCTTCTTAATCATAATTTGAACATCTCATGACAAACAACTGGTCTTGACAATAAAAAAAAAACCTTTGTAAGTTTGAATTCATTTAAAGCAAGCATTACTAAGTTTATTACATCATACCGGTACCAGTACATGGTGTTATGAACATGAACATTCCTAGCGCATTTCTGTTTTATAACTTTTCAAAGGATCAGTTAAAGTTCTTATTTGCCTATAAAGATGATTTTCTATCAATCAGCCATTTATATTAATGAATGCTTTACTAAATGTTTCCGATGACTACATAGTACATCTCATAATTTACAGTTCAAGTACACATATATATTAATGCAGCAGGCTATTGACAATTTCCTCACCACATGTACACAAACAAAAAAAAAAAAACAGAGAAAAAATCAAATTGCCTGACTACATGTACTATATAAGACTTCTGCTGGGAAAAGATTAATGGCTTGTGTCATCTGGTTTCTAAAACTCACCTGCAAATACCTGTATACCCAGACACCACAGATTAGCTTATGAAATATAACTTAGTTGCCAACATTCTTTATGCACTTTCTTACTTAATAATATTGTTTTCCTGAGTTCCAACAGCGTACACATCTTGCATAATTTCACTCTCTACTGGTAGGATAAAGTCCTGTAACGAGTCCTTACACTCCTAAAAAGAAGGATTCATGACTAAGCTACACAATACTACAAAGATCTGTTCAATCAGTCTTATTGTTAACTTAAACCTTCACTCTAGAACTTAAGAGGCTTTCAATGTAATCAATTTATTGTTAAGTATTTTGATCATCATTTCTTACTCTACAACAAACCATACTGACAAGTTATTGGAGCATTCTTATCCAAACTTAGAATGACAATAATATAGAAAGTATCATCTGGAATGAAGCACTGACTCACCTTCTTGTCCCCCATGTTCCAAATTCCTACCCAGATTCTGAGTTGGTGGTCAGGGAAGTACCTCTCCAGTTCCGGGGCCCCCACAAGAGAAGAGGTGATGCTGACATTGCCCCGCGAGCCAGTCCTACAGATTGGAATAGGATATAAAATAGACATGGTCATCAGCTGTTTTCCCTACCCAACACACAAGTCAAATAAAACGTCACATTTCTCACAGAACAAACACGAAAAAACTGCACATTAATTAATTGTCACAGGTAAGGGAAAATGAAAGTGTTGATGTGTGTTAATAGTTGTCAATAGCAGTAACTCCCGTGAACACAAATCAATAAAATGAAAGTGGCCAAAACTGTGTATTTCACAAGACAAAATATCATTCAATTTCCTCTATGTTTAAAGCCTGGACGTGCACTATATACTGGGAATTTAAATGTCACGACTAATGTACATCGAACCGTGTGTTTTGGTTACAGTTGATCAATAGCCCCTTAATCTTCTTACCCTGGTAAAGGTCATTGTTACAATTCCATAAATCATCATCTGGACAAAACCATGTCATAAAGTGCTTAATGGAGATATTCATTTTGTCCCCTGCTGTTACACATTAATTGACTTAATTTTAGAGTTAAATATTTTAGCCCCATGTCTTCTGGGCTAATCAAGTCTGGACAAGACTTTGTCCATAATGCGACTACATTGCATAGATGGCTCTTCTTCTATTGATATTTGATTAGACTGTAAATATTGACTTTTTCTATTCATATATTGATACATACATGTATTTGAAAGAAGATCAGCTCTTATGGTCAGTAATTCATGATAATAAAGTGCAGGAATAAGAAAGTGAAAAACACATGTATCATATGGCATTTGGAATCATTATGAAAGTTCTAACATCAGCCATTAATAAAGAATCATGGTTATAACTTGCAAAATTTACTGCTTAATAAAATAAAAGAGACTCAATTTGGACCAAATTTATACAAGTAAACTTGAAATTCAGAAATAATCAATTAATTTGATGCATGACTGATTCTTTTCTAATTTTCCTAATGTACTAATTAGTCTAATTACACTGTATACCTAGACAATTTTTGTCTTCATAACATTTACTTGTGCTCCTTACAATTCAACACAGATTGATTTCAAGAAAAAATTGTGTACTACATATTTTTTTCCCCCTATTTCTTTGCTTCTTATGCATAATACATGTAGTAATATATACCAACAATCCACTGTATGTACATAACTGGCCATCAGTCACGGGTAAAGATATTTAAGTTGATTACATTGAATATGTGCAATTCTTATCCAATTACTCAAGGACTCCTTTGCAATGCAGTATTTAATACTATTCTCCACAAAATACTTATAATACTACAGTATTCTTAATCTATGTATGAGGGTTGATCCAAAAGATGTCACAAATGCTATAAATCTTGAATAATCAAAAGTTTATATACTACATGTACTAATACCACTATCTATTTTGAATTTGCCCTTAAATTTCATTCAGATATGCTAGTATGCAATACTTTATAAAATATTTAAATAATCACAACATTGGGTCTCCTCTAATGCTACATGACAAGAATGTATCGATGTTATTATGACGTTTTTCTTGGACACTATGCAATTTTGATTCTGATGGTAAGGCCATACCAATAAAAGTTTTTGTTTGTTGGACCCGCGTGCTCGTATTTAAGCAAAATTATACAAATAATATTAATTTCAATTTCCCGCACCATGGAAATTCGGTGCTATTTTCTATTCCATTTCCGCTATATTTTTTGTAGTTTAAATCTGCTTACTCTGCAAATCAGAAAAAATATAATTGTCCACTCACATTTTTTCATGCTATGCCTAAAAATTTTGCCTACAAAAAAGTAATAATATTATTATTTAACCGCTTGCCCGCTTGTACTTTTTTTTTTCATCAAATGTCAAGAAATTAAATTGGTGTGGCCTATGAAAGATTTGTGCAAAAAGGAATAAATTTATAAATAACATTTGGACTTAGTTTAAATAATTTTAATACTACAACTCAAAACAAGATGGTTTCAGACTTGTCGAAATCCGTCAGTCCTGTCGGCAAGGTTAGTAAAAATTTGTCTGGACTGATAACTTTTAAGAAAACATCGGTCCAAATGACCGTTTGAAAAAATCGAGTGTGACGCAAATTTAAAAAAGGTCAGGATCAGGATGCGTAACTGAAAGTCACAAACACAGAAGAGATGGCCATGTGCGCGGCGTAGTGACAATGGTCAATTTTAATTGTTACAGGAAAGACATAAAATATGTTATTTATGTTTCTTATTAAAGTCTCTTTATCCTAAGAAAAGAAACTTGTGAGATTGAAGGCTGTTGAAAATATTAAAGGGCATTTTGGTGCTGTTATTTATTTTCCTTTCTCAGCGTCAAAATAAGGTACATGTATCTGGTCTGACAAAACTTTGTCCGGTCCGACAGAACATTTGAACTTTGTCAGACCAAATATCTGACAGTGATTTCAAAATTTCGACAAGTCTGTGGTTTATAGCAAAATGGCAATGAAGATTATGAAAAAGAAGAGATATTAAAAAGATAATGCGGATGAACTGAAAATGAGTGCAGAAAAGTAACGTAATAACAACATCAGTGATATTCTTGTCATGCTGCCATAGACAAAACCTAATGTTGTTTTTATCTTAATATTTTATAAATAGAGGATATTCAATGTTTTGTAGTTGGATATGTAGTGGGACAGGCTTTTTTGTCCCCCGCTTTCAATGAAAGTGGGGGATATTAATTTGGGTCTGTCTGTCCATCCGTCCGTCCATCTGTATTTCCTTCTGTAAAACTTTCGTTTCCACGCGATATTTTGAGAACCCTTTTAGCTTTTGCAATGAAATTTTGCATAGCAACTCCCTATGGCCTAAAGAAGAACCCTATTGATTTTGAGCTCAAAGGTCAAGGTCATAAATTACTAAATTCTGTCTGATTTAACACTTTCGTTTCTGCATGATATCTCGAGAATCCTTTGAGCTTTTGCAATGAAATTTTACATAACCATTCCCTGTGGCCTAAGGAAGACCCCTATTGATTTTGAGGTCAAAAGGTCAAAGTTCAAGGTCGTAAATTTATACATTCCATCTGTGTGTAACACTTTCGTTTCTGGGCGATATCTCAAGAAGCTTTTGAGCTTTTGCAATGAAATTTTATACCATAACTCCCTATGGCCTCTCTCACCCCTCTCAAAGTGTGCCGCCCCCTTTTTTTTTTAATTTAATGTATTAAAAGTCGCTTAGCAATATTTTTAGCAATGGGGCATGTGGAGAGTTATTTCGTATCATACAGGTTGTCGGGGGACTTTATATTCTAATTACATCTATTAGAACTGTTTAGTAAAAGCTAAATTAGACACTATGTATTGAATGTGTAAAATTTTGACAAAATCGAACATGAATAAAAACATTTTATGTGACCTAATGTTTGCATTTAATTTGCCGTATAAACAAGTGCCTCCATGGTCTAGGGGTATGACTCTCGCTTAGCATGTGAGAGACCCAAGGTTCAAATCCCTGTCGATACTTTTTAAAATTTTTTTTTTTGGAATTTTTTTTTTTGGATTTACTATATATATGATAGTATTCAGCATGAAATGAAAAAGTTATGATGTCTGGCTTGTACAAATGCATAAAATCATTATTACAGTGTGATAAATATTCTTTTTAAAAAGAATCTTCTATAGTTATATTAAAGAATATGCAATCAAATCTTTAAATCCATATTGGCATTTTTTATTTGCTTCAATATACATGTATACATTTAATAATTCTACAAATCAAGGGGGGGAGTCTGACCCCCCCCCTTTCCCCCGAACTGTGCATGCTCTTCTTTTTTCCCTAAGCGGGGGACACAAATTCTCTGAATTAGCTTATTTTTACATTTTCACGAGTGCGAAGCACCAGTGAAAATATAAAAAAAATCCTGTCTCACGAGTGAAATAATTTCCATATCTAACTACAAAATATTGAATTTTCTGTTTATTAGATTTTCTTTGATTTTCCCTTTGCTGCTGTCTTTTCTTAACATAGTGCCATAGGCTGTGACATCATAGTTGAGCGGTTGAGACGTCATATAGCTTAGCAATTGAAAACTTTGACAAACAATTGAGATTGAAAACTTTAGCAACATACATGTATTTGGGAAGAAACTGGCAGTTTTAGTCTCTATCAAGAGGGTTTAGTTACTATTTCTATCTTATGACAGACCAGAAATAATTTTTTACTTACTTATATATAATTATATCCTTTCACACTGTGAGAGAATATATCTTTTATTCCATAAATTATTTTATATCTATTTATTTAATATTAGTATGTCAAATTTTGTTGATAACATTTATTTAAAATATTATAGCGATTGTGATATTACTTTAGGATCAACCCTCGAATCCATTTACATCACAAATAATGGTAACTTAATGGAAAATGTTCAACAATTCCTCTTGTTTTATCATAATTTTACATAATTTATTTGCATTAAGGATTCATATACCACTGTAATATTGTTTATCATATTTTCATAATCTGAGTGGTTTAGACACATTTAACAATTTGTAATGTTACCCTCAGCACTAGCAACACACTTGACAACAGCTAACACAACGATAATGTCACATGCATGTAAATTATGCACCTACGGTTTGCCGTAGAAACGTCAGTTGTGCGTTAAAATAGAAGCCAAACAATCTTGACGTCAATCAAAGCTTGTGTCCGATGTAGCTTAATTGAAAATGACAAATGAAAAATGCTTGCGAGTGCAGAAATAACAAAACTTTAGATGATCATGAACTCTCTGGGTATGAAATAAACAAGAAAGAGGTCGGTAAATCTTTTTCTAAGCTTTCTTATTGAGCAGGGATGGGCACGATTACTGAAAAATGTAATTGATTAATAATCGATTACTTGGAGGAATTTTGTATAATTGATTATTAATCGATTACACTCATTTTTGTCCTGTAATCGATTGTAATCGATTACTTTGGAAGATGTAATCGATTAATAATCGATTACTTCCAAGTTTTTATCCCTTCAAATATCAAAGCAATATTTAAATGGTAATGTTGATGATACATGTGTATCCACTGAAGTTTGAATGTGTTCCTGCAGTTTCAGTGCAGATTCTTTTAAGATTTTATTCCAGCTAACATTTTCTCTAAATGCCCAAATGAGGGATTCTCTACCATGGAAAATGGAGACATGATTCGTACAATAAAACATACCAAGGAATTAATTATTCCTTTCAACCTTGGATCTGAACCTCCATATTTTTTTACTTGTTGCAAAAACTATTTAATATTTTATTGTGAATAACTTCATTAAAAGTATTTGGGCTGCCCGTATTTTGACAGTACACATTAAATATTCCTGTACGTGTCTTCTTTCAAAAAAAAATAAGTAAATTAGAACTCATAGTAATAAACAGTCATGTAAATTAAATGTGTCTTTAAGTAATTAAACTATAATAGCACAATTTCATTCTGTATTGAAATAACTATTTTGAGAGCTATTAATTGTTTTAATAATATTGTTTGTCTTCAATGGAACTATGAATTCTATGAGTTAAACAATAGGTAGTTCACAGTTTACACCTCATTATCTGCAAGTCAGGGATGTCTCAGTCAATTAATTAGCCAAGATAAGCAAACACAGTGACACACTCCCTCTCTTACAGACACTTATAACCTCTCACTGATATAAAAGCAACCATACAATTTTGAATGAAAATTAACATAAGAATGATTTTGCAAATTTTAAAGTTACTAAAACACAAGTTAGAAGTTATTTAAACATTTTAAGATATGAATAAGTACCGATATTTCCATCTTCTTATTTTTCCGAGTACAATTTAGTTTATTTACCAAATTATTTATATTTAATATTTTATTATATTAATTTATTATATTTAATATATTTAATTAATCTGTTTTTGCTAATTAAAATTTTCTATTACAAGACAAAGTTTTTCAATATCTGAAATATGAAAAAGGACATGCAGCAAGAGGACAGTGGGTCAAATGTAAAATGCATTTAATACTACTAATAATAATATATTTCATACTAGACCAGTAGGTCTATAATGCAAATTTTATTGAGAACATTATTAAACTTATGATAATAAAAGTTAAGTAATCCAAACATTACACTAGGTGGTTTATATTTGATATTTATGTGTGACTGACTGGAAATGATTCTCCAAAATAACATCAATTTATGTAAAAATAATCGAAAGTAATCGAAAAAGTAATTATAATTACATTGGAAATTTTAGCTGTAATCGATTAAATTACGATTACAAGTAATCGAAAATCTCTTCGATTACAGATTACTGTCAATTACTTGGAAAAAAGTAATCATTACAATCGATTACGATTACTCGATTACGATTACCCCATCCCTGTTATTGAGAAAAACAGAAGCGGGGAGTTTGAAAGCCTTCTAAACGCGAACTTCACGACGATCTCTGAATTTTTTTTGCTGACATTCTAAATCAATAAAACATTCAGTATCATAAAATAAATAGTGAATGTTTTGAGGGTAACAGTTGGAATTGATACCCCTCAGAAAACCACTGTCAGCTTCCACTGATGCATCAGTTGACATTCGTTTTCCTTGGGGTGTCAATTTCAACTGTTACCCTCAAAAACATGACTCAAATGAAAGGCACAACAATGTAAAAGATGTTTCAGACTCTGCAATGTTGTTTATTTTGAGTTCAATGGGATTTATCAAAGCAACCTATGTAGCAAAGGACAGAAATTGTTGAAGATTTGGTAACTCTTTTCATAACAACTGAAATCATCTTGTTAGTTCAAAGAAAATTTCAACTAAATGGTAAACATAGTAAGATTACCTTGCCCTGGCCTCTCTGATGGTGATCGGTAACATGGCACAGGATGCTGACAGTGACCTCTGAGAAATATTGTCTCCTGTCCGCGAATCTTCAAACTTCTGATGAGGGTACGAGGGGTCAGTTTTCATGGTCATTTTAAGTGAGGTTGAGGTGATATCTCCGAGTGGAGGGAGATGAGTTTTAGAAGAAAGAGGAGGGAGAAGTCCTCTGGAGGTACTGGCACTCCCTGGACTGGCCATTTGAATATTGTCACTTTGCAGGATTTCGTTGTACTTTTTGTTTATCTCTAACACATCAGCATTTGAGCCTATAGTCTTGTCAGGGTTATCTTTCATGAACACATCATCATCTGATTTTTCTCTGTCATATTTCTCGGTTTCTGTTTTGATGTTTATGTAAGAGGAGGACTGTTTCTTTGTCTTGGTTTCGACCTCTACCTCCTCCCCAGAGGAACCAGCCTCTCGGTTTCTCTTCTCCCCTTTAGAATTTCCTTTCACCTTTACTTTTCTATCAGATTTGGGTGTCTGAGGTGGTTTTGGCTGAAAAGGAAGACTCTTTAATGACTCTAATGATCCCTTTGGATCATTAGCCATTTTCAGGGCCCGGAACCTGTGTATGGTAGCATCAGATGGTGCTTTAGTTCCATTGCTGCCATTGTCGTCTGCATCAAGAGGGGGAGGGGGGTCCCAATCACATTTCTCAGGATCAGGTTTTTTCAGTCTTGGTGCTGGTTTGGGATTTTTTTTCACATATGTGTTGGTTACTCTCTTACCTCGCTCTAACCCTGGTTTTGTGTAGTTTGCATTATTAGACATATCCTCTGACTGGTTGTTGTTAGAATTTTCCTGTGTTTCATCTGAAGTCTGTGTGCTATCAAGCTTTACATCCATCTCCTCTTTGGCCTCTGATTCTGGTTTCTCCTTGGTGATATCTTGAGTCTGATTGGATTGCAGTGACACACATGACCCTAGTTCACTCCCACTCTCTGACGACCTGCGCTTTTTTTCAGCAAGTTTTGCCAATGCACTTTTCTTTTTAGGTTTTCGACCAGTAGATGAGAGGGATGCATTGTCTCCTGTTGGAGGTTTGAGATTACTGATGTCCACCTCCATGGTATCAGATCTACGTCAAAAATCTCACCTACAAAAAAATAATAGTTACTTAAATGTAACATAAAGCAGTCTATGCAAAATTTTTTTGGTCCACACAGGACATTCGGTCCTGTGTAATCAATGAACACACAGGACCGAACCAAATTTTGTCAGACCGAAAAACCTGATGTAAAAAAGTGAAACATGAAAATGCAGAACCAAGGAAATCTTATTTATTATACTAATAATACTTAGTACTAACAGCTTTCTTTTACCAGGGATTGCTCCCGCACAATACTGTAGACGGTCCATGCGGTTTTAATGACATTCATTTACGTATTTGGATTTGTGCAATATTTTTTTATTCATTTAAATGACTCCGCGTCAAAATGGTTAAGCTCAAAACCGGACACTGAGACATCCGACATTCCAGTCCAGTGTAAAAAAAATGACGCATCGGACCAGAGGCACTGCACATCGGTCAGGACTGACGGTCCGATGTCTTTCGCATAGACCGATAAAGCAGACGTATCATAAAGCAGGTTTGCATAATGATAATCCCGGGATCAACATTAACGGTTGTCCGATTGCCTGGGGCAAGTAAATTCTCAGTTTCTAAAAAATTTTTGGCAACCAAGTTCTGCATTCGGACAAGTCAAAGTTTGAGTTCACTTGCCCGAAGGGCAATTGAATCTGAAAGTTAATGTCTATCCCTGTAATCAGTCTCTTTATAATGATTTGACACATAAAGTATTCTTGACATACACCTGGAAAATATACTAATATTTTTAGGTTCTATCTTTGAAACATCTCTACATGATCAACAGTAAAATACATGCTTATACAATGTAATGAATTCATTCTTACATTTTCAATCCTAGTGGTTTTATAATTAATCAAAATTGCTAATCTTTGGCACTTTGCTAAAAGCATGCTTTACTGTATTTTACTGTATTTTGTGAGTGATTGGGGAGGGGAAAAAGAACGAGAATAGGGAGTGCTTTCACTTATTATTTTTATTTATTTTTTACTCATCTTGATTTGAGTTAATTGCATTCAATATTCAATTCTGGAATATCTGACATAGCGTAATGAACCTGCCAAATGAAGGTTGAAAATGTTTATCCATATAACAATGTATAAACATATTTAATACAACATGTATGAATTTCCTAAAAAATATCACAAAATTTCATATATTACACCAGTAACAGCAATCCAAACAGTTTCCTACTTGTGTATTGTCTATCTTTCCACAAAAGAGAGATGTGGTGTTTAGTTTTTTCCCTTAAAAAAAAATTCCAATTATGGGTTATTGAAAACAGTCTGAGAAATATATCAGGGAAAGAATTTTAAAAAATTGTGTAATTAAAGTTAAGTACTAGAATATAATTAAAATTGTTAAACTGATTCAAAATACTTAAAAACTAACAAGAGAGAGAAAATGTTACTGAAGAAGGGTTAACCTGTGTCACCTAAGTCTTTCTTAAGTAACCAATGAACTCGTCCATTGATTCCTACCCAAACAAAGAGCACAAAATTTCGTAAAGATACGAAGCATTACGAGCATTAGTCATTATTCCTTCGTCATCATTATTCCTTCGTCATAAAATACTATCAGGAAATTAAGGACATTGGCAAGTCAGGGTTTTCCGGAGAAAAAAGGTTTAATACATGGGTGTTTTAACTTATGAAAATAGTGCTTGAGAGTGATCTCCCGTGTAGAATTCTCTAAGCGGTGAAAAGCAATAAAGCGTATGTTACATAGATAAACAAAAGCATATGTACTCAGGGGTGTGCAATTAGCATCGCCCGACGCCCGGGACTACCATTTTTGAGGGTCGGGCTAGTAGTTTCCTGCACGGAGGTAGCCCCTTGGGCTAGTAAAAATTAAAACTACCAATGTAAGACATGAAAATCACTATCGGTCTTTTCACTCATTTTTTGCTATTAAATTCCCAACCAATGAAAAATTTCCAGGGAGCATGCTCCTATTGTTCATAAATCTCAATAATCTTATCCATTTTGCAGTACTTCCTGACTTATTTACTTCCAAAAACGATCGTTTTTTTTTCTAATCCGAATTTCCTCTATTCCCCTGTTTATGGTAAATACTTGCAGATATCTCATTAAATTATTTACGATCACTCAATCAACTGAAAGATAAATGTTATGTGGTTTATATAAAATATATTTCCAGTGTATTTAATGATTTAAGATGAAAAAAAAAAGATTTTCACTTCATTTTATATGAACTAGTGCAATGCACAGAAAAAGGGAAGATAATTTATTTTAAATGCATTTTTATTTTCTATCTTAATTATTAATTTATACATGATTCAATTTTACTAGTGAGAATTGAACTTATTTCTTAAAAAGAATGACTTTAAAACCCTGACTTTTTCAACAATAAACTATTTTTTTCAATATATACCGCCCCCTTCCCACAATTGGGCTAGCAACTTTGTATTTGGGGCTAGTAACTTTATTGCTGTTACTAGCCCGTGGGCTAGTACTTATTTTTTTTAATTGCACACCCCTGTGTACTTCCTTCAATGGGTAGAATCATCTATACAGCAAGAAAGAAAAGCAGTAATGGCTTTGTTGTACATTGTATTCAGGGACAAAGAGCCAACAGGTCGTTATTTACCATAGTTATGCTCAATTTGCTGGGAAGGGCAAAGATGCGACATATGCTGAAAGGTAGGTCGACCATGCCGACTGAGAACAGTTCTTAGGTCGTGTGAAGGAATCTGCATTTAGTATCTACGAATAAACAATAAAAATTAATCCATGCCAATATTTTTATGACAATTTGTTTCAATTAATTCAGTCAATTACATGATAAAAACAATCAACCAGTCTCTTGACCAATTTTAGCTGTTAAGGGATGCAACTCAAAAATGATGATCGGTGCCGGTATATCCATGTCTTGTTTCTATATATACATTTTCAGCCAAAATATCTAGAAGTCATAGGAAATGAAGATACAATAATGTGTATAATACAAAAACTGTATGAAATAAATGAATTTTGAAGAAATAATATGGTGAAAAAATATGTAGGTCCCTTTTATCAACATTTTACATTGGAAATGCATTAAGAATTGTAAAAACACTAATTTGACAAAATCTAAAAAAGAATGTTGGTAGGTAAAACAGTCCAGAATATAGCCTGTTTAATACATTTAAACCTACTCAAAAGATCTTGAAAAATTCTACACAATAACCAGGAACCTTGCCAATGTCCTTAACACTAATTATCTTTGAATAAACAGATATTTTCAAGAGAAGCTTCATTTCTGATTCTAGAAATGTTTTTACTTACATAATTTTGTTTTGGTTGTTTAAACCAAGTAAATCAATGTTCTAGCATCGTTTAGATAACTCAAACCCGTCTTGGGTTTGAGTATTGAAAAAAAAGTAATCAAGTAAAATTTGTCCTTGATAATTGGCTTTCTCCTTTGAGTATCCATAGATTAGCTTAATGGTAAAATCTTTAATCATGTTTGGATGTGAAGTTTACTGACTAAAATACTACATATAAAGATGAATCTTTGACGTATTACCGATTATTATCAATTAAAAGCATCGATTTTTTCTTTTTTATGACCATAATAATTTTAAAACTGCCTAAACGATATTCTCTTACCGTAAATATGTTGGGAAATAATTTTCTTGTTTGAAAAGACGGTCATGATACAGTAGCTTTACTTAACACAGGGGCGGTGTAACTTAGCACGTGTGATTCAGAATCTTTTATTTGTAAACAATGCAATAGTTTTCATAGCAACTTTGTAAATACAGCAAAGTGCTCGTAAAATGGTTAAGTAACTGTTCGTGCAGACATACATGACCATTTCTTACTTACTATAGTATACACTGTGTGCATCATACCTTTATTTTTTACGCATATTCCCAGGAAACTGCAAATTACATTGCAATGAAAGTATTATTTTCACTACTCTGACTCCATATTGAAACCATCACGCATGCCCGATTTACCAAAAAGCGGAACAATGAATTACATTGTTAACCTGTACACATTTTTTTTCGCTTTTTGAATATTTCCACTAAAACGATCCGGTACTTCTCTTTAATTTTCCTTTTTTCCAATTTTGTATCCCCCCGGAATTTTCAGTTATTAAAGGTATATACTGAAGGGAATAAAAAATGACGTTAACGTTGGACCACCCCACCCCCACCCACCTAGAAAACGTGGACCCCACCATCACCACAACGAAATAGTTTTTTTTTTTTGGTCTTTTTGTTGTTGTTGTTGTTTTTTTTTTTTCTTGCTTGCTTGTCAAGAAATTTTCTGGGTTTAATACATTTGGGAAGAGAATTTAGTTTTTTGTGTTTGTTTTTGTTTGTTTGTTTTGTTTTTTTTTTTTGTTTGTTTGTTTGTTTTTTTTTTTTTTTTTTGCTTGACAAGAAATCTTTTGGGTTGAAAATTTTTTTTTTGACTCTGGAAAAAATTTCTGGATCCGCACGTGTAATTTTGATTAATTAAAACTTTGTGTGTATTCACCTTGACCTTTTATATGTAGGGAGACTGGGAGGGATCTAAAGTAGAATGCACCCGCTTCCCAATCCATTCTCTTTGGTGAATAAAATATTGTTTGATTTAAGTATCTTTTTTTTTTTTTAAATACGTAGTATATTGTACATGAATCATTGATATAGCATCGATATTCCTAATACAGCGATATCTATATAAATTTTACTTTCATAAGATACACACTGTAAGTATAAAAGTCTTGAATATTGTAACAAAATTTAAGATTTTGTATTTTTAATGAGTTTTAAAATAACGAACAGTATGTTTAGATTGGACACGGCACATTCCATAACTACATGTACATCATGCGACCGGAATCTTTGTTCCTTTCCACATCATTATGGAAACGAAATACCCCAGTTTGTTTATTTTTTCTATGAATAGCACAAAAACATTTTTATATATTTCATGTTAAATACTAAGTCCAGATGGACATCAACCATAATATATTTTCAAACAATACTTTTAAACGAACGTTTATATGCATAATTATGTAAAACCCTAATACAACTATGTATGACATAAAATTTACATTGAAATACAATTTTTTTTAAACTGCAAATTCAAGCAATTTTTATTATAATCAGTAAATTTAGACACACATGGAAAAACACACATTATCCTTAAACCGAGCTCCTATGGTATTCAATTCGTGAATGACATTTGATATTTAACATATTATCACTCTCAAAAGAGGCTTTTTTAAAATTAAAATTATTATTATATATTTATTGAAATAAAAGACATATATGACAAATAATTTAACATGTTTACAAAAATCTCGATAAAGAAATGAAAACACAAAAATATATAAATTTTATCTTGATCCTTTCAGTCAGTATCACTAAAAATAGATTGAGTAATTCTTTTTAGAGAATGAAAATAGTCTCATACCTTTCAAATATCTGACTAAAATAAGAATTATGTGCTGAAGGAAAAAATCAGTCTGCCTTAGACACGACTTAGTATAAGAACGAGTTATCGAATTAGAAAACAATTGTCGCAATCTTGCAAAGTCGAAAGAATAGTGAGTTTGTGTAATTTTAGTTAGTGTCTTATGTTTGAAATAAATAGGGAAAATGCATGGGAGAAATTATATAACTATATAATCACAAATCACAAAATCTTTTTTTACGACTAACAAGATATGTCTAATTGCAGTTTCTTTTGCCGCCCTTGAAATGGAATTATCCTTGTAATGAGGCAAAACAAATATGAAAAAAGATAAGAAAATGCATTTTATATCTTTATTGAGCAAAAAATTTCTATATATTTAAATACTTTAAAAATATACAAAAGTAATGTTATATTGTAAGCATTTTCAAAATAAATATTTAGGTTATTGTTTCGCGCACCTGCTAAAGGGAATAGCCAAAACAAAGCTGTCTGCTTGCCAACAGTAAAGGCTAGGTCGGCGATGGTAGAGAAAGGGTAGTTTAAACCTCGCGAAAAGAGGCATAAATGACGATCTCCGTAATTCGTAGGGATATGACATCTGAAGAAAATCCAGAATGTAGTCATGAATTCAATTTCTTTTTGGATAGACAGTTGCAAACCAAATTGATAGAACAAGACGAAATTTTACACGCAGAGGAACTCTACTCACAATACAACCTCACAAATACAGAATCAAAGATTGTGAATTCCAAAGTTATTGGAAAAAATGAAGAAATACAAGGTTGGGTAAGTGAACCCAAAGTTATTCTACGCAAACCGGAGAAAGAAGGTGTTAAACAACCACAACCTCCGTGGCGTGATTTCAGGAATAAACAGGTATCTATCCAAGACTCTTTTGTATTCAAACACTATGGAGATATCCGTGCTTACATTGAACAATACCGAAGGGAGCATACTAATGGATTAGGTTTTAAGTCCCACAGTGCTTTAGACCGGGTGCAGGGTGATGGTGCTCGTAAACATGGTCAGTCCCCATCCCAAATTCATGTTCAGCAACAGAATACTTGTAACTGTGGAGCCCCTCCTTGTGCTTCAGAAGTTCAGAAATACCTCACAGCTGCCCTTCAGTATACAAACAGACAGCCTACTTCATTGGCTGGTTATCAGTCAAATTCTCCTTCTCAGGGAGTTCCAAGTGCCAATTCTCATCATCCACCCAACTCACCACATGCAGCTAATGGCCATGTTTGTACAAAGCACAATCACCATCACCAAGCGGAAAAAAATAGCCAAGCGTACAAATACAAACTATCACCAGAGTGTCAGATGATGTGGTCAAGTCGGACAGAATCTCGGAACTCAGAGCGAGTTGAACATCCCTCCCCTCGCATGCAGTCAGCCAAAGTGTACCCCTCAGGAAAAGCCCCTACGAAGGTGTCTGTGCCAGCAGCCCCTCCTAATGGACATGTTAAGCGACCTCCAATATCTGTGTAAGTATTATAAGGATTTGTCTATATGATATCCAGTCTTCATTAATTTCAGAATCAAAAATGATATTCAGAAACATACTGAGAAAAACCAAGTGTTCCTGTTTATATTTTATACAATGTTCTTGTAAATATTTTTTTTTTTAATCTCTCAGTTAACAGGTATTTATAGTCAGTTAAAGGTATCTGCTCTCATAAGCTTCAAATGAACAGGATTAAGATTTGAAAATACATAAAATGGCAGAGTGATCTTGAAAGTTTCAAACAAGCAATACTTTAGAAGTAAGCACAAATGTGTGAGGGAAAGTAAGGCATAATTACACACTTTGATTTTGTACATGCTGTTGCATATTTGAGAGATATTTTGGGGTCAATCACTGATTAAAAAATTGTGCAAACACTTGCATGCCTGTATTTGGGGCAATTAGATATTATCTTGGGAGAGGAAACAGATTCACTAAAGCATGGAATCACGATTTTTTTTCTCTCAGCATATATGGAATATATATTCAGTAATGTATCTTATCACAGGTGATTTGCTATATTCATTGAAATTCAAAATATGTACTGAAGAGTTCATTTTTCTTTTTAATTATATCTGCATGTGCATCATGTAACAGTAAATGTCAAAATAGCATTTTGCATCTTTTTCTATCTGCATGACAAAGTGTAGCATGATGTCTGAGATGGTTGGCATGTGCTGCAGTTGTCTTCATTGCCTGTAAGTGTTTAACATGTCTCTCTCTTCTTGTCTGCAGACCCAAACTGAGGAACACATTCTTAGGTGTCAGGTAGTAAATACTTTGTAGTTTTACCATATGCACCATTTTTGTTAAGATTTTGTATAATCAAACACTGTTAGCCCACATTTATGCATACATGTATTGCAATTTGCCATGTCTATTAATCATGGAGCAAACAAAGTGCAGATCCCTAAACCTAAAGCATGCAGAGTTTAGGATCCGATATACCTCTCCAGGGCTTTGTACCCTATCCTATCTGTTGAAGTTTCCATTTGCCTGCATGCTTAATACTCTTCACAGGAGAGACAGAGAGAGAGAGAGAGAGAGAGAGATAGTTTAATTACCATTTGAGTTCAGGAATTCAAATTCAAAGTTTAGTCTTTTAAAGATCTTTTGAATAGAGGAAAAAGAGTTGTTGGAAATACGTTCTGTTTACACATACTAATTCAGAATGTCATTTTTTTTAACCATTCATGCAATTATTTAGTTATCTATGTCTCAACAAGAATAATCATTTCACTCTGAGAGACCTGGTTGCCATATGTAGCATATTTGATAGAAAGGTATTTCGCATTCAATAATGTAAATATACAGGTAAAGTACTGAGTAGATTTTATTGTTGGTTTGCAAAGAAAAAAGGTACCCCAGGGAGGCTTTGATCGATAGAAACAAATTTGGGTACAGGGAAAACAGATCTTTGGTCAATATATGTATCAAGAAAGCAAATTGTTTTCTGCACAAGGAAAAACCTTTAACTTAATCAAATGATTTATCAAAAGTATTTTATTACCCTATCAACCTAATCAATGTTAAATTGACACTGATCAGAACTGTTTGGTTTCTTAACAGTTCAGTTAATAAAATGCCCAAGTGTTGGAGTTCAAACAATATTTGCTCAGGCACAATAGAAATCAGATTACATTTCTTTTTTAATCGAATTGTATGATTGTATAAACAAACCCCAAACATACTGGATAGCTGCCCACCAGAGTCTAGAGTATTCTTTAAAGTAGTTTATAAAGAGACAGAATGATTTATTTTTGCAGTATAATGCACTAGGTATTAAAGAGATTAATCTTAAATCACTTCATTTGATAGAATAAATATATAAGGAACAGACTATGTGAGTAATTCCTCGTTAAGAGGAATTTGTATTACTTATTCATGTTAATGAGGGGTGTAGATTACTAAAATGATATATTGATTTATCATACTTTGGTGAGATGATATAATGAATTAATATATATACATGTATTTAAACATTCATGAAGATATTGATGTATCCCTCAAGTAATCAATCA